ACCTGTTCAAATGTTTATTTTCCTGGGAATTCACTACCATAAAAACTTGACATGGTTCCCTTAAGGAGATGCCAACAGCTGCAGCGTACATGTCTCTTCTAAAGTATTTTCTCATTCCATCTCCTTTATAAACTGGGATTTCTGCACTGTTTATTTGTTAATGTGGCTTTCGTTAGGGCTGCAGATTTTATACAGAATATGCAACCCAAAGAGGAACTTTATAAATTTGGAAACATCTTGTGGAAATTTATCCTAAAATTAATTGAGACCACTGCAGGAAGACATGCTTGCAAAATGAGTAAAAGAAGTCCCCTTTTTTCCTATTTGATGTCCTTCCATATTGCAGTGCCTCACTGCCTTTCTAGATTTGAGCATTTATTCAGGTGGGTCTGGTTCTTTGGGGCAAATATAGGCAACTGAATAAGATAGTTTTAAAAAATTATTTAAGTAGGCAGATTTATGAGAAAATAATTAGATTTTCTGCTGGATATCACTGGTAGGATCTGGATTGACCATCTGGAACAGAAGATATCCTTTTGTGGTACTTTGGTTAGCCCTAATAAAGATACTATCTTTATTGTGGATTTTGAGTGAAGTATAGGTAATAGATCAGGGGTCCTCAACTGTGGCAATTTCCACAAATCTTAAAGTTGCCAAAGTTGGAGACCCCTGTGATAGATAGAATAAGAATTTATGGCAAAGCTACAGCACATACTACTATATATGCTGGAAGCACATTCATTGTTCAGATAGAACAGATAAGAGCATGAATTTTAGAAGTGTGAAACACCTATCTTCTTGAACAACTTTACTCAAACAATGTGACCAGACATATGACAGCTCTCTCATTTTACCCTACAAGAAATTGATCAAGTCCAAAAAAATAAAAGCTAGCAAAAATCACATTCCAAGAAATATAATCACATTTTCTTGATTGTCTTGCATAGGAAGGGAAAACTCCAATGGATCTTGTGCTACAGTGGCAAAACGGCACCAAAGAAATCTTCAACAACCTGAAGGAGAATGCTTATAAGAGTTCTCCCATAGATACATTCTGAAGACCAGACTCAAAGCTTCAGTGAATGACCGTTCCTTTGCAGATGGCGCAATGATCAGCATAAAGAACAATGTGAAGAACAGTTTCTTAATACATGATGCCATCGTTGCCTGATCGAGCTAGTGTTTTGCTTTTGGAGTAAGTCTGAGGACAAAAGGTTCAAAGGCACAGCTTGAGTGTTACAATTCCACTGATTACAAGGTTTTTGTTTTTTTTTTTTTTTAAAAAAAATATTCCTATTTATATATTGTATTCCATTCTTCCCTTTTTCTTGGATGAAGTTTCTTCGGTTGCTGTTTCTCTGCTGATCTTTCAAAAAGTCATGTTGATACTAGAGTTGTAGGTTACTGAAATGATAATCAGCCAAGAGCATTTATACAAGACAATCATGTTTCTGAATGTATTAGCAACTTCAAGCTTCTCTCCCCCTAACTTAACTCCAATGTAATTAATTTTTAAGTGTCACCCAACCTTTCTGCTGAATTGCTATTGTCAGAGTAAACTGTTAAAGCCAAGAATGGGGACTGGAGAACAGAGGTAAGGAAAGCAATGAAATTAGAAAGGAACAGTGGAAGTAGAATGAAAAAGGAACAGATCTGGTTTATTTTAAACTTTATTAAGAAGAGTAGACCAGTTTTACCCAAAATAGTGGAAAATGAACTACAAAGTTCAAATTAGAAAGTTACATAAAGGAAGGTATTGAAGTGAATTAGAAGAAAATGCAGTTATTTTTACGTGCTCAGTAATGCAAGAAAGGTTCTGTATATTTGTATGGCTTTTTATGTACATTTTGTATTAAATTCCCTATAAGATTTAAATAAGAGAATGGCTTGTTCTGCTTGAATACTTTACTTATTTGTCTGAAGATTGTTATGTTCCATCAGCTAACAAAAAATGCTTGCCAATTCTCATAAGCGTTAGAGGTTATAAACAGTTAAAACTATGACAAAACTTTATCTTCTCAAATCAGATAGCCAATACTCAAAATTACTGACACTGATTGGATCAATTGCACCAAACTATGATACCATTTGTTTAGCTGTGGCTTAGTATTTGGGGTCAATTATGGTACTATTGTCAATGTTCCGACTAATGAACCCAACTGAGCAAGCACTTTTGAGACAATCCAATCTCTTAATGCAAAACTTTATTGAGTAAATCATTTCGGCACAGATGAAAGCAAAACCAGCTCTGATCATTTCCTGCACAAACCACTATAATTAAATTATAGAATCCTCCCTCATCCTATTAGTGCCGGTCACATAGTCCAATCGAGTGTCAAAATATTGTTATGAGAAAGTGTCTCTGTGGGTTTGCAAACACCTGCTGAAATGTCCTTGGTTCATTCGGGCTGACTTCTTATTGTTTGGAGCCTGCATTCCATTTCCCACTTTCCTCTCCCCTAGAGCACTGGCAAGCTGGGAAGCAATAATAGTGGCAACATCATACCTGGGCTTCGAGCTTGACAACTATATTGTCACTGGCTTAAGAAGGTTACATGAACAAAGCCCATGGTGGTGCATTCTCAGCAATTAAAGTTTGAGTAAACCATGGCTTGCCACGATACTAAATACTGTTGAGGCTCTCTGGTCCTCCTCCTCTCTGTAATTATGAATGGTGAAAACCCACAGCAGCTTTGAATGGGTGCTGAATGAAAGCAGACTGAATACAAGATGAAAAGTAACCACTGTGAAGGCAGCATATTGAGGTGGTATGGCCATACGCAAGCCATGAATGAATTAATGAATATGTAGGTTGATATGCTAGATCAATAAAAGTTGCAGCTCTATGGAGTTGATGAGATCCTCAAAAGGAGAGAAAAAGGCAATGTATGGTGGTGGAGGAAAGATGGTTTATAATGAAAGAAACATACAGAAGGATATAGAGTAGTGAATGATGTTGGCATATACTAGAGTTAATTTTCTTTTTCTATCTGCTATTGTTTCGTTGGTTATTTCTAATTCTAATTCTTCAGTATGTTATGTGACATAGCTCATCCCCCCCAAAAAATAGCACAAATGCGTCACTGCATAGACATAGAAACAATAAAGCCCTAATTCAAATTATATGGATTAACTTCAACATTTACCTGAAATGTTTTGGAAGCAGGAAACATGAAATCAAATTGCAAGCCACTTGGTCAACATTGCAATTACTACCGATGCCTGGTTCCAGGGCTAGACCCACCCCAATAGCCTCACATGAATCCTGAACAACTGCTTGTTCCACAAGCTTGTTGTCAAGATCTAATAACATGACAACAGCACAATCTTTGTGCTATAGATTACCTGTGATGTTCTGATCAGGTATACAGCAGTAAGGTGAAGGAGCAGAGAGGCTGCAGGAGATATTGGGGTGCTGAACCTTCTATCCCCAGTTTTGGTTTCCTGATATACTGGATATGCTGAGCAAGAGTATCTTCCTTTTACCCACCATTCTTTGAACAGAACCATCTTTTAACTCACATTTGAGATCCATTATAAATGCTGCATTTTTGAAACAGAACTGCTACTGTGACATCTACTTAAGATTCTTCATTTAGTGTAATCCTTTAGGAGCTTCTAGAACACTGCTTTATTGTCATCTTGCTAGGGAGTGATAAAGCCATTAGAAATGGCAATTGGAAATGGACAGGATGAGATGGAAATGGGCAAACAAGTCTTACAAACATACACTATATTACAAGGCTTTTCAACCAGTGGTACGGGTACCACCTGTGGTACATTGGCACCTGGCAGGTGGTACGCGACCATCCTAGAAAAGTGGTAGCGGGGGAGGGGAATGAGCTAAACTGGTGGCATCGCACAAGCCTGAGCAAGAGATGGCTGGAGCTGCTGGGCTGTCGGAGCTCAGCGGAAGCGCCAGGATCGGTGCTTCTTCGGGGCTGTCAGGGCTCAGTGGAAGTGCCAGTATCAGCGCCAGGCTCCAGCTGGATCTCGGCGCTGATCCTGGCGCTTCTGCTGAGCCCAGAAGCACCGATCAGCTGGAATGTTGCAGCATCTCCAGGGTCTTGTGATTTACATTCAGATGCTTGGCAACTGATTCATATTTATGATGGTGACAGTGTCCCAGGGTCATGTGAGGCAACCAAAACCTGCTGCAACCACCCAGCAGACGGGGGGAATAAAAACCAAACACCCCCCACCCCACTCCCGCTGCCAATCCTCAACAGAAATGCTCACAACAATGAAAACCTCAGGAGGAAGAGCGCCACTGGGTGGGCAGGAAGGTGTCTTGCTCGGCTATGGCTTGGGGGCATTTTTTCAGTGCCATTGTAACTTTGAACAGTCACTAAGCGAACTGTTTTAAGTCGAGGACTACCTGTACTTCATCAGATTTTTCCTTTTTTGGGGGGGGGGGGTCAAGTTTTTGATACCTTGCTAGGCGACTGGTGATACTCGGATATTGCCAAATCCTAAAAGTGGTACAATGGGTGAAAAGGTTGAAAAGCCCTGCTATATTACACGTTCATTGCCTTGTTTCAGACAAATATACATTGTCTCTGACCCCACCTCATTTCGTCTCATACTATAGCTGGCAAGACACAGTTATTTCTCAACCCCGGATAGTTAAATTGCACAAATTATCTGGATGCTCCACTGTTATAGCTATGAGTAAACTGGTAGAAACTTTACTCATAGTTAAGGCTGCAATTTCTTCAGATGGTTACAAGCAGTAGGCTGCATTAATAACTCTGTAATCAGGAACTCAAATGTGGAATTCTAGTAACATTATTATAATCCTGTGATGAAATCACGGTATTGTAATGATTTTCAGCATGCATATGTAGTCAGATTAATAAAAGCCAACACAATTTTAAAAAATCTAGGTTACATATACAGAATGTAAATTCTTGTTTTGATCATTAGAGTGGACAACTGGACAGTAAAAGTCATATTTGATAAGATACTATATAATTATTATAAAAGACAGCACAGCTATATATATGTCCTCCCATTTCTTTCAAGTGTTATATTGCCATTTTTCACCGGATAATATTCAAGGAGCATCATATATTGTTTCTAAGGTCCATACAGAGAGTTCACCTAGGTATATACTTATGTCTCTATTTAAGTGGTAAGGATCCTTCCTCTTCATTAGCCATCCTAAGATACGACAGCATGGAGGTTTGGTCTGATGTTGGATGTTAGAGAGATAAACTTGTACTTCACAAATCTTTCTTGGCTTTTTTACTAAGTGGAGCATCATCATCATCATCTTTTTCTTCTGGAGTTTGAGATTTCTTCACTGTATACACCACTCCGGAGGCAGTCTTCCTGGCTTCTGAAATTAAAGTATGTTTCATACACCAAAAGAAACGTATGATTAGATGCATGATGTAAGAACCTATTCTACTGCAGACAATCTAGCCAATGCAACATGGAATTGAATTACCCATTGCAATATTATGGGGCCAAATAGCATTCTGATGTAGGTGAAAAGAAAGTTGAGTATCATATGCAATTGTGTGGTTCTCTTCCCCATATAAGCCAGCCCTAAAATAGAAACTGTGGGCCAGGGTAGATTATCACATCCTAATTGTACAGTTGCCCCAGAAACTAGCTTGGCACAAATCACTCCACTATCTTCTTGGTTATCTACAAGATACACGGTGAAGGACTATAGTTCATCCAAGAAGATGCTTACAAATCAAATGCCTGTTCAGAACAATAGCAAAGGATAACCTTTTTCAACCTGGAATCCTCCAGATGAAGATAAATAGAAATTTATTGCAATCAAAGACCATATAAAACAGTGGTTCTCAACCTGTGGGTCGGGACCCCATTTGGGGTCGAACGACCATTTCATGGGGGTCGCCAAACCATGCTGTCCACCATTTTGTTCCCTTTTCCCTAGCTGTCCTACTCCCTCTTATTGGTGGCCACACCCACTTGGGGGTCACCACAACATGGGGAACTGTATTATGGGGTCACAGCATTAGAAAGGTTGAGAACCACTGATATAAAACAAACAAATCATAATGAAATAAAATAACAATTGAAAACCAACAATATAAAACTTACCTTAAAAAGAAAACTATGTTTTTTCCCAATTTCCTAATTAAAAATAACAACAACAACAATAATAATAATGCTGGAGGTCAGGGGTGGAACAAATAAGGGAAATACTTATCATCACTTCTTTGCATTATACCTTTGTCAATATTGGTAATGCACTAATCTTACTATACAGGTAGTCCTTGACTTAGAACAGTTCATTAAGTGACCATCCAAAGTTACAATGGCACTGAAAAAGCGACTTATGACCGTTTTTCACACTTATGACCATTTCAGCCTGCCCATGGTCATGTGATCAAAATTCAGATGCTTGGCAACTGATTCATATTTATGACAGTTGCAGTGTCCTGGGTCATGTGATGATCACCTTTTGCAACCTTCTGACAAGCAAAGACAACGTGGAAGCCAGATTCACTTAACAACTGTGTTACTAACTTAACTGCAGTGATTCACTTAACAACTGTGGCCAAGAAAGGTCATAAAATAGGGCAAAATTCACTTAACATCTGTCTCAGTTAGCAACAGAAATTGTAGGCTCAATTGTGGTCATAGGTCAAGGAGTATCTGCACAAAGTCCATCGCTGTTTGGACTCACCTCCGTGAAGAAGGACGGCTCGGCTGTTGGTTGAAACAGTTGCCTTGCCGTTGCTTTCTGAAAGGCCAAACAACCAACCTCTGCCACTTTCATTAAGGATTCTTCAGATCTCAAATGATAAACATGCTTTTCATCAATGGACAACAGTAAATGCCATTCAGAGTAAAGAAAGAACTCAAGATTTATACATGCACACTCTCTTACCTGCCTAACTACCTGTGCTGGAATACGAGGGTGGGGAAAAAAGCGAGATAAGAAATCTTGGCCAACGGAATGAGTCATCTTATGTCCTTTTCTGGCCACAGGCATTCAATATTAAATATATCTGATATCTGGCAGCAAGTCCAGGTTTTATTTCCCCGATTCTTTTTCATTGTAAACTGAGTCAGTTTAGGGTCAAACCTCTCCAGATTCTATTGTTCAAACCAAGGCAGATTCTGCTTTTTTCTAGCCTGTTTTGCTGATGTACGAGTAATACCATAGTCTAGTATCCTGCTGGCCATGTTTTGTATGCCATTTCCTTTCCAAATCTTTTACGTCTCTCAAGGAAGAGATGCTATTCTCCAGCATTCTATGGCTGATTATCCCTTTTTCAGATAAGCATCGTAGCGTCTTTAACAGTTCAAGGCTTTATCAATCCATTTTAAAAGGATACAAATTAGCCACATCATATGGACTTCGCAATTGGATAGGCTACAACAGAAAGGGGAGGGGGGAAGAGATAAATACAGATGCAGAGCATAAATTGCAATTGCATATTTGAGAATTAAAGCACTGCACTCCGAGAGTCAATACTTGGACCATACAAAAGCAGCTTACTTCCTCCAAACATCAACAGTTTATTAATTTTGATGGAGACAAGTTGTATCGTATAATTACCACTTAAATGGTCAAGATTTTATGTAACAACATCAGCTTTCTCCCAGACAAAGAAGTATTCAATTTTTGTGAAGTAGGTGTAATAGAAGAGAATGTATCATGTTCCACTATGTTTCCAAAATCATGGACAGTGAAATATCACATGTGCAGGCTTAATTTTAAAGGTGTGATGTCTCACTGGCTTAAAGACACTGGGTTAATCAGATGGAAAAGGTACGTTCTCTGCATTCCGGCAGTTTGAACCCTAGTATTGCATGATGGGGTGAGCTCCCAACACTTGCCTCAGCTTCTGCCAACCTAGCAATTCAAAAGCATGCAAGTGTAAGTAGATAAATAGTACCACTCTGGTGGAACTAATGGTGGAAGCAAGAAACCAACTGATGCCAGACTGGCCCGAATGCAAGGCAAAAACCAGCAGAGAAAAAGTCCTGGATGATGAAGAACACTGCTAGCTACTCTGTGTGCTGAATTAGTTTGCCCCCTCTGGTACACCCAGGATAGCGTGTGAGCGTGAACTGAACAGACTAGCATCCTTAGGCAGCCAAACTACTACTCTTTAATTACATTTAGACTCCTGGCTTTCATAGTGCCAACACCTTATGCTAAATAAATGAATGAATAAAAAGGCTCAGCTTTCCCCATCATCATCTCTTTCCTCTTTCCTCCAACTCAAGTACAGGCACCTGCTCCCTCCTATTTTTCTCTTTAAAAGCAAGTATTTTGCCTGTATTCACTAATAATGCAATTCCAGGTGTCAAAGGCTGGATGCTGTATTAGCCACTAGAGAAGGAAGGCACATAGACATGCTTATCTCCCTTCCATTTGCATTCATACTCCTCCCATCAAGCCAAATAGATGCAGTGACCTTCGTGGGGGGCATGTGTGTGTGTGTGTGTGTGACAAAGTCAAAATGGTGGTCACGTCAGTACAATCAAACACATCCAAAAGAGGCAGGCCTTTAAATGTGCTGCCATGATCACCATCTTGTATTCTTTGACACCCCTGCCTGGGCTGGAGTGTGACGATGGGAAAGAGTGATCAGAAAACCTGGCTAACTGACTCATATGATTAGTTCCTTCTCTGGCCACAGGGATTTAATATTAAATATAACTGATGTTTGACAAGCAGGCACCATATTTTTATCTGATTTCTTTCATGTCTACACTGAGTCAGTATTTATGGACTTATGGCCAACCTCTCCCAGTTTCAGTGAAGTTTTTGACATGCCACTGAATGAAAGTGTAATTATGAACTAGAACAGACATGTCAAACTCACGTCACGTGATGTCGCGTGATGTATCAGGACAGTTTTGCCATTGCTGGCAATAGGGTGGGCGCAGCTTCCATGTGATGTGTCCGGCCCATGGGCCGGCAGTTTGACATCCCTGAACTAGAAGGTACAAGAGAATCCCTTGATTTTGTGATGGAAGGGGAAGAGAATTTTGGGCATCTGAATGAGCCACAGAAAATCAAATACGGATTGGCTGAGTCAAATATCAGCTGCTTTAAAGAGGAGCATCCATTCAAACAATTGCTGATCTTTAAAGAATCAGAGTGACACCTAAATCCATCCTTACCTTTTCAGCTCCACTGGACAGAATAATATTCTAGGAAAGAAGACAATGCAAGAGTTATTTATTTTAGGCACTGAATCCACATAATTGGACCAAACTGCCAGAACAACACATTCTCAAAGAACGTTCCCATCGGAGCAAAAGTCAGGACGTTCTTTTTGAAGGACAAAAGCTAAAACACTACCCTCCCTGTGTGAAATTAACTGGAAAATAAAAAGAAAAAAATATCTGTTTTCTTCTCTCACTGTCTAGAAGGTTCCTTTTCTTCATATATTTAATACTTACTTTAATGGGAAGGAAGGAGGGAAGGAAGGAAGGAAGGAAGGAAGGAAGGAAGGAAGGAAGGAAGGAAGGAAGGAAGGAAGGAAGGAGGGAGGGACATTCCTCGCCAATCAAACTTAAATCTAGAAGACAGAGCACAAGGTAAAAGGATGAAAGCTGACTCAAACATCAGTCTTTAAAAGGGGTTAATGTGTGTATGTGTTCTGGATGGAAGAAAATAAATACATCAGCTTTTGAGTGGAGTTGAAGCTTCTAGGGCCAAATCAAAGTGGATATTAAACGTCATTGCATGTTTACATTCATATAACACTTAAAACACACACGAGTGTTTCCATGGATAAGGACCTCCAAATTGTTCTTTGTCCCCCTTTTTTGTTTTTTATGATTCTATTCTATTCTATTCTATTCTATTCTATTCTATTCTATTCTACTCTACTTATTTTCCTACACTGTGTCCATTTCATTAAAAGAAATTACAAAACCTAAATCAAGTAAGCCATCCCATTATATTAAATAAAACTCAATATTAAATTAAAACAATGCCATAAATGAGATTACTCCTCAAGCATATCAGAAGTTTCCCTTTCTCCCCCTGTAAGAATTTTTAATCCAGCAGCAATTTGTAGAGAGGTTTTGGGGAGCCACGTGCGATCCAGGGACTTGTGCAACTTTGTCCTGAAGTTTCAGAAACAACAGTAAAGTGCTGATGAATCTACCATATAATATATATAAAGTATACCATATAAAATATAAGGTAAGGTTTTTTTTTTCCTTTCTCAGTTTGTATTTTTAATTTTTCTTTTTCTTTAAGAATAAAGATTGTCTTGTTAATTGCATATGTGTAAACCTGATAATTACGTAAAGTGCTGGCAATTCATTCTGGCACCAGGGGAGGAAATCAGGGCAATTTTCTTGAATGAAAAACGAATTCTCTATTCCTTTTCCAGAAATTTCTAGCAGGATTCCTGGAGAGATCGGGGTATGCCCATATCCATACAAGCACAGGCACTAATTGCAACCCTCCCCTTTTTCTGTAGCAAGTGCTCAAGGCTGCCTCAGCACCTTGTGTTTGACCAAAAGTCCTATACCCAGGTCACTAATTAGATATTTTCTTTGATTTCCTTCCCAAAGGTACTTTTCCCAAAGACAACTTCAGAACTGAAGAAGCATCTTAGATGAGGAGTGAAACTTTTCAAGCAAAAACCAAGAAAGACCAGTTGCCATTTGGAAAAGCACCTTTGGGACAACCATGATTCAGATGACTGAGACTTTTGATAGACATTTGATTTCCTTCAGGGTTTTGCTAGATTTTCAGGTACAAAGCAATGATGAACAACTTGTTCTCCTGTTTGCTTGACACAGATTAATTGGACGTATTGAACAGATGGTTGCTGATGAATCATTTATTATCTTTGCTGTAGCAGGGACATCTACGGGGTAGTAGGATATCAAAAAAGTTACAACAGTGGTTGCAACTTCATGATCAAAGCCCTAGCCCTTTGTACATGTGTACATTAGAATAGCTGAAACTTTGGCTGCATGGTGTGGCTGCCCTTCTGACTTTTTCAAATCCCCACCTTCGCACCCCTCACTGTTCCAAAATATAGGGGTATGCAAGCTACGCTACATTAATTCAAACCAGATAATTGGAAACTCTAGTGCAGCGGTAGGCAACCCAAAATGCTCAAAGAGCCACTTGGACCCATTTCCCACCGAAAACAAAACACTGGAAGCTGCAAAACCCTTTTGATATCTAAAATGAAGATAACACTGCATATATCCTTTTTTTACCATTATACACACACGCACACACACGCACACACACGCACACACATATATACATACATATACATACACACACACACACACACACACACACACACACACACACATATATCTCATAAAAGTAAAAAAGGGTATGTGCAGTGTTATCTTCATTTTAGATGTCAAAAGGGTCTCTCTCTGTCTCTCTCCCCCCTCTCTCCCTCCCTCCCTCCCTCCCTCTCTCTCTCTTTCTTTCTTTCTTTCTTTCTTTCTCTCTCTCTTTCTTTCTTTCTTTCTCCTTCTTTCTCTCTTTCCTCTCTCTCTCTCTCTCTTTCTGCCCTTGGCCTGCCAGTCCTCTTCCCCCACTCTTTCTTTCTCTCCCTTCCTCTCCCCCTCTCTCTTTCTCTCCCCCCGCTCTCTCCCTCTCTCCAATCTTCTGCTCACCTGACAAGCTGGCTTCAAGCTGTTCTCCAACAAGCTCAGGGGTAGGCAACCCTGGCTCTTTTATGACTCATGGACTTCAATTTCCAGAATTCCTGAGCCAGCATAGCTGGGCTAGCTAGCTCTCTCCTGCCCTTCCTGCAGAGATGCACCAAAGGGAGGAGCTCCACCCAAAAAGTTTTTCAGCTCTTGGAGAACATGGCGAGTTCACATTTTTTTTACACATACACACACACACACACACACACACACACAGAGAGAGAGAGAGAGAGAGAGAGAGAGAGAGAGAGAGAGAGAGAGAGAGAGAGAGAGAGAGAGAAGGGAAGTGCAAGTGCCTGTTTCTGTCTCTGTAAATGGCAGAGGAGGCTGGGAGCCGCAAGGGAAGACTCAAAGAGCCACATGCGGCTCCAGAGCCTCAGGTTGCTGACTTGTGCTCTAGTGACATCGGGCAAACATGCCTTGTTTTTTGATCTCACCTTTCCACGGCAGATCTGCATCAGGCTGCAGGCATTCGAGATTGTGTACCGTCGCATTGTGGAGTCTTTGATGGCAGGAACATAAATAAGTTCAAAGTAGATCCCTCGCTCTATTGCCTTTACAAGAAAGAGAAAAATAAATAATCATCAGTTGAATTAAATGAGGATGGGAAGGGAAAAGAGACAGCCCCTGGGATGAAGTGATTGCTTTAAACATGACACCAGACTGATTCCAGTAACCTGGATAACAAGTCACAAACAAAACAAGCCAGAATTTGTAAGCTACAACAAGTCCTGAATACTAAATGAAATTAGCTATTGAAAATACCATGCAATTCATTCCAAGGTGTAGTGCTCAATGTAATATGTTGAATCTGATTAAATCGCAACAAGGTTTACTGTTACATGTGAAAGCAGTGTGTCATGTTTCTATTCACCTCATACCCAGCAAAGAGAAATGTCAAGACACTTTAATTAAAGAACCCCCTTACCACATTGACAGATGGTCTCTTGATGAAGAAGGGCAGCTTTTCTGTCACATCAACACACACCAAGTCTACATCTAAGGTTGTGCATGCCACCTAAATTATCATTACGAAAGCATATGGTCAGACAATATTACTTCAAAAGAAATTGTTCCATGCAGAAATGATAATTGTGTTTCCAATAGGATCAGTACAATATTTAGCAGGATTATATTCGAAGATCAAGTTATTATTACACAACGTTGGAGTCTCAAATCTTCTACTGCAAAACAGGCTGTAAGTCAGAGGTCTTCAAACTTGGCCCTTTTATGACTTGTGGACTTCAACTCCCAGAATTCCTCAGCCAGTGTGCCTGGCTGAGGAATTCTGGGAGTTGAAGTCCACAAGTCATAAAAGGGCCAAGTTTGAAGACCCCTGCTGTAAACCATCCAACTTCCATCAGCTTGCCAGCCACACCCAACCTGATTCAGCTCTTGTCTTTGACTTTTGTGATACTTCCACCTCTACATTCCTGTGAAGGCAGAGTTCAATCCACTAAAAAACGGTAGACCGTTGTACCCACAGGATTAGCCCAGAGGTAGGACCTAGTTCACAAGTCACTTGATACAAAAATCCTTTCCTAATCAGCAATCTAATCTAGGGAAAATATATTTTCAGTGGTTGCTGTCGTTAGGTACAATTGAAAAATCTTCCTTGGTTCCCTGTGAATCATTTAGAGCTTTATAAGTAGATTGCAACGTACATTTTGCTATTCTCTGACATTTTATCAGCATTGTTCTTCAAAAAGAGCTAATTTTAAAAATCACAGTACAGAAAAAGTAAGCAAACAGAGCCAATCTTCAGAAAGGGTTCTTAGAAATAGTAAAAAAGCTTCCACTAAAATCAAAACTGTAACCCAATGTTCACCAAGGTCAAATATGCTATGAACGCTTTTTCTCTGGACAGAGGCCCTGATTTTTTCCATATCCTGCAGAAATATAAACAATGGATTTAGCATAAAGAAAGGAAAAGATCCTTTAGTACTATTATGAGACTTAAATGACCATTTTCAGTCTCCATAACCAAAGCAAGAGCGCCATCTGCTGAACAGTGGAATGTCAGCTCTAGAGGCTATGCAAAAGCCCCAACTTCCTGGGCTGATTAGTGATAACTCTCCCAGAAGGCAGTTACTTTTGTGTGTGTGTGTGTTTGTGTGTTTTTTTTTAAAAAATTAACAACTCTAGCTAGACATGATACAATTTGTATAATTAGGAACTCTGGGGAAGGATTTTTTTTTTTTAATGTAAGCTTCAAGCAAATGTAAAAGAGGCGGTTGGTCAGCCATCTTGCAAAATTTATATGTGCCACCACCACCACCACCAGTACCGTCCCTGCAGTGCCCAGGGATCTAGAAATAATTAACAACATGACTTGAGAGCAGTTGTATTAACGATATTTAACTGCCATGCAAATTGCTAAGAATTTTCAATGAAAGTGTAATGAAAAAAATGTGTAAATTTTGTTCCACTTGCTACATACAGCCATTAGTGCCGAAAGAATTGCTTATCCTATCTAGAAATCCAAACATTTCCTTCAAGGAATAATTTTGCAGCATTCTAGAGAACTTCATTCCATTCAACAACAAGGGCTTGGAACCCAATAGGTGACTTGCAAACAAGGTCCCAATAAATGCTGGTATTCCACCTGAAGAAATATCCATAGATACAGGTAATCCTCAGGTTACAACCATTTGTACAGAGAACAAATGATAAGTTATGACTGGTTCTTGAAGTTCTGGCCATTCCAGCGTCCCGACAATCAGGTGATCAAACTTTGAGCGGTTGGTGATCAGCTTGCATTAATGACTGGTTATAGCAGCCCAATCATGTTCTCCTGCCTCGGGCAAACTACCACCTAATTTCTCCCCATCTCTGCCTTTTGGACACCCTGCACGCCACCACCCCCAGTTGACCTTTGCTGTCTACTTCCTCCCACTGCTGCGCTGGGATCCAGGCAATGGGTGAGGGTGCAGCCCTAGAATGTACAAAGCAAGCAGAGCAAGGTAGCAACGCCTCATCATGGCTGGTCAGAGAAGAAGCAGCAGGACAGAGTGGGTGAAGGCAGGGTGGTGGTATAAGCAGAGGAGCCCCGCTTTCTGATGCCAGCACAAGACTTACAGACCACAGAGACTGCAATTGGATGGAGACACCAGCTCCCTGGGTAAAGGTGGCGACTGTATGAGAGGTGATATTTGGGGTGGTGGCAAAGCTGGAGGAAGTGGAAGGACGAGAGCTTCCTGGAAGCCCAACATAAGCTCTGCAATTCGTGGTGGAAGCTGCTAGCCCTTTGCTAGGCTCTGCAGGAAGAGTTGGGCCGGATAGGCCCTGTCAGTGCTAGAGTCACCTCCACCCCTCCAGTTCTCCAGAAGCAGCCATGTGAGGTTTTGCTTAACAACCATTTTGCTTAGTAGTGGAAACTCCAGCCACAATTAGGGTTGTAACCCAAGGCCTATTTGTACTTGGTGTTAGCCCTAACTTTCACCCCATCTTTCTTCCTGTGCCCTGTCATTTACACCTCAGTTCCCATGCCAAGGGAAGTTGTACTTACGTGAAAGAGTTTTGCATTCTTAGGAAATACAGCAAAGATATCATAATATTTGATATTTGTGGATGTCGCTCTCTGGGTATAGAAAAACAAAAACCAAAACAAAATATAACCTGTTATTAGATTAAAAAAGGAAGAATGCTTGTGGCTTATGCTGCACAAATATTGAGCAGTTCAGTGGCCAAATAACAGACTGCATGTATAAACTGTTCCATTCAATATCAAAGCTGTTGCTAGCAGTGTGAAATCAATCAAATGAAACAAAGACTCCTTGTAAAACTCTTGGGATTTCAATTACTCAAAATAAATCCAGAACATCTCTAATGGGTCACTATCTTGAGTTATTTATAAAAAAATAATAAAGTTGTGATAAAAAAAGTTTAGAAAATTACTGAAGCAACATGAAGCAGCCCAAGATTAGGAACTATGTTTTTTTAAACTCATTATATGGATAAAGGATAAATTGATGATGGTAAATATTACAGATTATTCATAAAACAAATCTTCCTCATTACCAACTTGCTCAAAAATTAATTTATATGAGGAAGATATTATGTTCATCTTAGAATTGCTAAGTGAACAAAAAAATTCACCACAAAATGATGGTATAATTTTTATTTAAATACTTGCAGAAATATTATTTCTTACAGTATCTTATTAACATATCTGATACATTAAAATAACAGGTGTCTTACTTGTGACTTTAAAAATAACTGTGAAAATGTTTTATGTGTCCAGCCTACAGGTTCATAGATCTTAGGTGAGCACATAGAAAATACTGTATAATAAAGAAATGCTGAGGATTCATACATTATAAGTAATTATTCTTAACAATGTTTTGAGAAATAAAGTTATTAACAAGTTTAAAATGGAAAAATATTTCCAAAGAGTTCTATCAGAGGTTCTTTACATTATTTTATTTACTTTTATCTCACTTTTTATTATTCTTATAAATAACTCAAGCAGCAATCATACCTAACACTCTTTCCTCATTCTCTTTTCCTCACAACAAAAATCCTGTGAGGCGGGTTGGGCTGAGAGAGAATACCGAGCCAAAGTCACTCAACCAGCCTTCATATTTGAGGACTAGAATGATGATGATGATGATGATGATGATAATAATAATAATAATAATCAAAGTACAGAAAACTGCTGAAGGCTGTGAAAACAGAGAGCACTATAAAAATAACAGAAACAAAGGCAAAATATAAGGAAAAACAGCTGGATGACAGATTAAATTGATGGAAAACCAAAGCTTTGCATGGACAGCATTAAAAAACATTGAAGGAAAATGTGATAACAACTTGACATGGGCATAGCTTAAGATGGGAACCATCGAGAAAGAAACGGAAGGCTTAATACTGGCTGCTCAAGAACAAGCACTACAAACTAATGCCATAAAAGCGAAAATACAAAAATTCACTGACAACCCAAATTGCCAATTTTGCAATGACAAAGTTGAAACTTTTTCACATCTAATATGGGAGTGCAGCAAAATCGCGCAAACTAACTACAAAGCTAGACATGACCGAGTTGCTAAATTAATCGACTGGGCATTGTGTAAAAAATACGACTTGCCTGTGTCTGAAAAGTTGTGGGAACATAGGGTGGAAAAAGTTGTTGAGAATGAGAGGGTGAAGATCTTGCGGGACTTTCGAATACAGACAGATCGCCATTTGGAACACAACACGCCAGATATCGCAGAGAACCAAAGCGTACAGCTGATTGATATTGCTGTACCAGGAGATGCCAGAGTTGAAGAAAAAGAACTGGAAAAATTATGAAATATCGCGACCTAGCTATTGAAACTGCGCAATTATGGATAAAACGTGTAACAGTGATACCCATTGTCATCGGGGCACTGGGAACTATGTCCAAAAACTTTGCAAAATATTTCAAGAAACTGCAGCTTCCTGCAATAACTCCAGCAATGCTACAAAAAAACTGCGCTACTCGGAACATTTTACATTTTAAGGAGGGACCTGGTTGATACCTAGGATGCTGGCAGCAACCCATGTCACCATCAGCGCCAGTCAATTTGAATGTCCAGTTGACTGAGGCTCACGTATAATAATAATAATAATAATAATAATAATAATAATAATAATAATAATAATAATAATAATAATAATAGAAGTGCAATATGAGGTGATGAACCTATTGAAGAGAAACAACTGGAAAAAAATAACAAAATACCGCAATCTGCAAATTGAAGTTGAGTGATTGTGGAGGAAGAAATCAATGGTTGTACCAATAGTAATAGGAGCCCTTGGAGCAATAACCTGAATATTCTGACTTTGAAAAAAACCCAAACCCTTTATTCGGGACTGCCTATATATTCAGAGGTTACCTTAGATTAGGATTTGAACTGTTAAGTTTTTACCAGTCCCTGACTGTGAATTGAATTGAAGATTAAATCTTAAATAATAACAGTAATAATAACAGTGATAATAATAATAATGACAATAATAATAACAATAAAAAATTAAATTTTACCCTTTCCTATTTCTATTGGAATAGAGTTCCACTGGTCACCAATATGAGAAAGAGAAAACAGCCTTTGGTTTATTCCCTCTTATTACCAAGCAGCAAGACATATCCCACACCCCCTTCCTTAACAAAGGATTATGAAGGAAAGCAGCTTGCAAACTGCTTTACAAACTTACTAGAACGTTGCAGTGGGATGGATCAGAAACCACTAGCGTCAGCCTTGATAAAATCTTAATTGGCTTGGATTTCCCCTGTAAAGAAAAACCTGTGAGAAAAGAAACCTAGGCAACAAGACACCTACTCATTATTGAAAAAGGATACTTTATTCGCAATATGAGCCTGCACAAATCTACACAGAGACAACAAAGATATGTCCTTTCATTAATTCAGAAAACCCATGGCATCTCCTGTCTCCTCTAGGATTCTTAACCAGGCGGCCCACCTTCAAAGCAAACACAATTCTATGAAGATGCTCTTCCTTCCACAACTTTCTTGTCCTACTTTATAACCTCCATTAGTTTTGAGGCCACAGCTAGGAAGGTACCATTAAGCTTGTAGGCAGAGTTATGTGTGAGATGAGGAGGCTATATAAACTTGATAAACAAGTAAATCAATATTATTCAATTATAGTAGGTTATTTTTAACAGGGGTGGTGGCGTTTGACATTTTAATTACTTTAGGATTTATTTTGTTTCATTTTCCACATTTTCATTTGCTACTGTACTTTTCAATTTGTTTCCCACCCCTGTTATTGAGTAAATATATCAAGTGTGCATATGCGCATGTAAGCTAAAGATTCCTTAAAGTTGCTCTGCTCATTAGTGTTTTCAGGAGAGCTCAAACAGGACAAGATAATGCTGACAATATGGGTTCGCCCCATTTTATATGTCACACTTGCCGCACATATAAAAAGGGTTGTGGTTTAATCACACAGTTGTCTCCCATCTTGACCTCCACCCACAGATATTTCTGGTTCTAAATGGTCATTCCTATCTATCTATCTATCTATCTATCTATCTATCTATCTATCTATCTATCTATCTATCTATCTATCTATCTATCTATCCCATTTACTGCTTATTTATTTATTTGTTTGTTTGTTTGTTTATTTAATCCATTTACTCTGGCTACTCTGAGCATCTTACAACGGTAAAATGGAAAAAATATTAAAACAAAATGTAAAAATAACAATAGCAAAGCAATGAAACAATAAACTGTAAAGGTACAATAATTAAAAAGATGGGCAGAGAAGGAGTAGGAAGCGCCATGGGGAGGTGGGGTCAGCTAATTTGTCCAATAACCACTTCCAGTGTGGTATTTCCCTATTGGGTCCCCAGGCCAACCAGCAGAGAGCCAGGTTTTCAGGCCTACTAATAATAAACGTTCTAGAAGAGTTATTCCCTTGAGGATAGCACGCATTTTGGCAGAGAAGCAAAACAATAAAATTTATATTCAAATTAAAATGTCCTAAATACTGTCTCTAGTACCTATGTGAAACAGATCTAACAGCCTAAAATGTATTATGCTGCTTTCCACCAGTAGGATGGACGTTCACCTAGGGGAAAAGTGGCCAATCATGTATGCTGTTGGCCTGCAAGATAATCCAGGAAAAGAAGCAAAAGCAGGCATACTAGCTCTATCTTTATTGTAAGATTACATTAAAACAGAGATGGAAAACTATGGCCCTTTTATGACTTGTGGACTTCAATGGCTAGCTCAGGAATTCTGGGAGTTGAAGTCCACAAGTCATAAAGGGGTCCTAGTTCCTCACCCCAAGATTAAAAGAATTTTGAACGACCGAAAGTATGTTTCTGCTCCTTCCTCTTACTTTCAGTAAAATATGGAGGGTCCCTTCTGGAACATTTCTCACACCCTCCATCCTTCTGTGGGCTGAGATTTCTTTTACTTGTCAGTTGGGTGCTTAATGCTCTTCCTCCTGCCTCTCAGGGATATTCTCACACACCATTACAATGCTCACTGATCATTTTGGAAATTATGTTTGCTTTCATTGTTCAAGGAAAGATGCTTCCCTTGTGTTCACACACTAGATAAAAAAAAACTTTCAAATAATTTATGCAGCTGTTCTATGCAGGTTGCAGAATGAAGCTACGGTATATCAAATGATGAAGTGGATTGGACAACATGCAACTATAAGTAGAACTGAAATATATATATTTAAAACAATCTCCATACAAATTAATAATAGAACAAAACAGAATAGAATTCTTTATTGGCCAAGTGTGATTGGACACACAAGGAATTTGTCTCCAGTGCATAAGTTCTCAGTGTACATACAAGCAACAAGTGATAAATCATGATCAACATATGAGGGAACCAGCTAACCTAGGATCTGCTCAGATGGTTAAATTTGGATTTTCAGGGATTTTTAAGTAAAACAATTTATTTATTCCAAACACTTCCATACCACTTCAATCACAACAACTCTAAGCAACTTTTTTTAAAAAGACATACCTTCCACATTATAAACACATTCAGCTCATTCCACCTGTTGGCTGTGCGCAACCAGACCATAATTCCTGGGCATGAAAGTTCAATGGAATTTCTTTCAAGGAAGCAAAATAATGTCACAGTCTCAATGAAGCCTACCAGGTGATATCTGCACTTCAGAATACAAAGGTGTTAAGTATATAGCCATACCTGTACAAGAGGTAAGGATGGAAACAGTTCTGCAGGAGTTATTGGCTTGACAATTTCCTAAACACAGATATAAAGAAAAAGAATCACAAATATATCTACCAACAGAAAAAGAAAAAGAAATACAGATAACACAGATAAGCAAAGCTATACCAAAAAGAGGTTTGTGAAATAAACACAGAAAAGCCAACTGACACGAAGAACTATTTCTATAGTCTATACTTTCTTTTTACAGTCAACCAATGGCTGATCTGCATGAATGAATTCTGCAAACCACAGAATAGTTGAGTATACTTGATACAAAGTGGTTTAGACTTCAGTTATAGGACAGATAAGCAAGAGAAAATATTTTCTTTTACATTTGAATTCTATACAATTCTATGAAGGCCTGGAATGAATGCACTGGACTTATCCAAGAAAATATTACAAAAGTAACAACCCACAATAAGCATCAATTCTGGAATCTTACAAAACTCAGCTGTTTCCTTACATTTTCACTGTAACCAGCAAGACTGAAAAAAAAAATTCTGATGATTCAAGCATGCTCACCATATGACTGTTTTTCTTAAAAGCCTAAAATGCAGCTCAGCTGCCATCCCAGTTTGAAATTATGTGAAGCCTTATGATTGAAGGATTTAGATGATGCAGATACTCTGACAGTCATTAACTGGCTGTCCCTTCTTCAAATTAATGCCCTCTGAATGTCCTGGAGTTCATCTTCCATCCTCTCTAGCTGAGAATAGTGAATTCTGTCACATCATCTGCATGTAAGAGGCTCTGTACAGATTGTCCTCAATTAACAACCATAATTGAGCCCAGAATAATTATGGCAAATACCACATGACTGTGGTGGATTTTATGATCTTTTTTTTGTGGGATTCGTTAAACAAATGTCACATTCATTAAGCAAACACAGCAGTTGTTAAGTGAATCCGTTTTCCCCAAAGGGTGTTTTTTTCCCCAGAAATCAGAAGTAAATACCAGGAACAGATTTAAAAAAATGCCAAAAAATGTGCTTATTATAAATGCAAGCCAGTTGCCAAGTGCCCAAAATGCAATCCATGTGGCTGCAGGCTGATGCAGGCTTAGGCAACAGGTCACAGGCAGCTCTGGGGAGATCCACTGTATCTTCGAATGGTTGATTAGCAAGGATTACCTTATATACAGCCTGTTTTTCAAACTTGGCAACTTTAAAATGTGTGAACTTCAATTCCCAGAATTCCCCACATAGAATTCTGGGAGTTGAACTCCACACATTTTAAAATGGCAAAGTTTGAAAAACACTAGCACAGAGGCTGTATACAAAGCAAGGCCATGCAAATCTTTTGAAACGGGGGCTTTGTATTCAGAATGCCTTATTGAATTATTCAAGCAGCTGTTTCTTTTCTCAGATTTTCATGGGTGGTTCAGAGACTAATTCCAACTGTCCCCCCCACTCACTTTGTTGCCACACAAAGATTTATCACTGCCCAGACACAAATATCCCACCATCTTTTGTCCAGTAAAACAAATACCAGTTTCTTAACCCATCTTCTCTGAGGGAGATGGGTGGTTAAGAAATATGAAATAGAAATAAATAAATAAAAACCCAGCAAAGTCTGCGTGGTCAGTTTTCTAACCATTCAAAGAAGATACATTTTTTGTAAAATAAAGTAGAGTAAACTAATGCACAGAAATTACACTACTTTTGTTGTTGTGTGTGCTCTACTCTAGCACTCTTTACCCTCATAGAAGGAATTCACTCTTATAAGCCTACAGAGGCATCAACCACATAAGGTCATAAAGAATAAATGTTTCAGATAGAAGACTTACTTTTTTCTTTTCTTCATAGTTAACAATGTAATTGATTGCTACAGCTGAATAGCCAACTTAAAAAAGAAAACATAATACAGATAATCAAGAGAAGCAGGATATTCAAAAAGAAAAAAAAGCATTTAAGTTGATGCAGCTGGAAGCTATCCTTGTGCTGCTTTCCATCTATATACCAGATGATTTCCTCTGTCTTATTCTAAATTGCAATACACAATTTATGAATATACATATAAAGTTTACTTATTCTCAGATACCAAAAAAAATTGAGCTTTGGACTGAATTACACACAATTGTAAACAAAATTATTTCTATCTGAAGACCTAAATATGCTTAAGATAAATTTCACTATCGTTTTCCAGAGTGTCAAGAACAAGTCGGTAATTAACTAAAAGAACCCTGAACAATATTATATGCTTGGTGTGTTGCTGTTGTTCAGTTGTTAAATTATGTCTGACTCTTTGAGACCCCAAATATTTCTGTTCTGATTTTATGCATGTATCAATTCTAACAAATGAGAATAAAAAGTTAAAAGTAAAATTGTGTGACTGTTTGGCCTAGGGGTTAAAGCACCAGGCTAAACCCGGGAGATCTGGAGTTCTAATTCTGCCTTAAGCATCAGTCAGTCTCTCAGCTCAACCTATCTCCCAGCGTGGTTATGGGAAAACTAGGAGGAGGAAGAAATATTAAGTATGTGAGTCACCCTGAGTTATTAATAAAAAATAATAAAGGCAGGAGAAAATAATTAAATACATAAAATAGTTCTTAACACAATCTTCAAAATATTACACACATATACATTAAAAAAAACCTAGGTTATATCATTTGGATGTGTTTATATCTAGCTTTTTCTTAAAATTTTACTATATATATTCCAATCTTCACAAATTCAATGGACATGCCTGAGGCTATCCTAACTTACACCAGATCTTACAGCCGTGATTTTCACTTTTTGTAGTAATCATTTTTAAAATAAATAAATGTGAGATTATGGTCCCTGAGCACACCCTGAGTATTTATTATCTGAAGGAAGAAATGCAACCATTTCATTTCAGTCTGTGAAAACAGTAACAATGGGGAAACAGGTAGCAATGAGTAATAATCAAAAGCATTTCATATCATACAGTACATTATTTCAAGAATCTTTACTTGTCTTATTTCAATCTTCCAAAAGGGATGCTTGTGTCATTTCTATTCAGCGTGTTATAGGATTGAAAGCAAGAGCTTCCTAGCTAACTTGCTTCCTTACTCTACACAAAACATTCGCACAATCTGACGGTGATGAGATTGAATGGCAAAAGGGAAACTACAATCTCTAGTTTAGGCTACCTAACGGATTTCGAATAAACTCGGAAACAGCGGAGCCGTCTCCTCTTACCCCAGCCGCCCTCGCCTTTATAGAAGGCATCGATAAACTCACGGTGCGCTGCAGCCTCCACCAATTTCTGCAATGCTTCTTTCTCCGGCAAGTAGAGAATATTCAGGTCCGCAAACGCAGCCATCTTCCATCCACGTGGGGACCAGCAGGAGCAAAACGAAAACAAGACTTGCGCCTTTAATATGCTTTGCATGTTGGGAAATGTAGTTTTTCCATAAACTTACTTTTCCAGAGTTGGCTAGCGTTCGTTTTTCCGCAGAGCGGGAAAGGAAAAAGCGTACGTGCGGTGTTCAGCTGTAAATTGTTTTTTTTAAAAAAGGAAAGGAACAAGAAAAATGTTATTTGTGTATTTATGTATTCTTCAGGAAAGTGGTGGTTGTTTCAGTCTTTAATGGCGTCTCTGCATTTAACAAGTAAATCAGTGTTTTTCAAACTTGGTAACTCTTAAGATGTGTGCATTTCAATTCCCAAAATATTGGCTGGGGAATTCTGGGAGCTGAAATCCACGTATCAAATAAATGAATCCAATCCCATAACTGAATAAGGTTTTGATACTCTCCAAAATGTTACAGGAAACTAAGTGTGCTTTCAGATGTCCCTGAATTCTCCTCCAGCAAGAAGTTGCAGAAGAAAACGTTTCAGAAGAAAAAGAAGAAGAGGAAAGAATGGGGAGGGGACCTCACATATTAGGCCAGTTGTTCTAATCATTGCTTAGGTGGTCTCTGAGATTTGTTGTTCAAAGTCAGATTGAATGCATGGTCAGTATTAGTAGCTGCAGGTCAGCTCTCAGAGACAAAATTAATGGTTGCTTTTCTCTACTGTTAACGTGCTCCTGGCTACTTTCCTTCATGACCAGAGAATGTCTCTTTCAATATTAAATTTTGAAGACCATTCACTTATTTCACGGGTGTGAAACTAGGCATGTCACGTGACATGTCGCGACGTATTGCGACTCTTTGCATTGCCGGCAAAGGGGTGGGCGCGGCTTTGGTATGATGAAACCCGCACGCGGGCCAGCAGTTAGGCAGATGTGCTCTCAGAACCACTGAACTATATTTTTCAAAGATCCTGGAACATTGGGGAACTACCAGAGGACTGGAAAAGAGCTGATGTAATTCCGGTCTTCAAAAAAAGAAAAAAAATAGATCCAGGAAACTACAGACCTATCAGCCTGACCTCAATACCTGGGAAGATTCTGGAAAAGATAATCAAACAATGAATCAGTGAACACCTAGAGGCAAATAAAGTCATTAAAAGCCAACATGGGTTTGTCAAAAACAGATCATGCCAGACAAATCTTATTGCATTCTTTGACCAAGTGACAAAAGTAGTGGATCAGAGGAATGCTGTGGATATAATTTACTTGGACTTCAGTAAGGCATTTCATAAAGTAGATCACAACCTACTACTCGATAAGATAGAAAAATGTGGTCCTCAATGGAAGTGCATCTACACGGAGGGAAGTGTGTAGTGGGGTGCCCCAGGACTCTGTTCTGGGCCCAGAGCTCTTCATCATCTTCATCAATGATTTGGACGAGGGGATAGATGGGGAACTCATTAAATTTGCAGACGACACCAAGCTGGCAGGAATAGCCAACACTCCAGAAGATAGGCTTAAAATACAGGAGGATCTGGACAGACTTGAACACTGGACGTTATCTAACAAAATGAAATTCAATGGAGAAAAAAGTAAAGTTCTACATTTAGGCAAGAAAAGCCAAATGTACAGGTATAGTATAGGTGGTATCTTGCTCAATAGTAGCAACTGTGAGAGGGATCTCGGAGTCCTAGTGGACAATCACTTAAATATGAGCCAGCAGTGTGCTGCAGCTGCCCAAAAAACCAACACAGTGCTAGGCTGCATTAACAGAGGGACAGAATCAAGATCACATGAAGTATTAATACCACTTTACAATGCCTTGGTAAGGTCACGCTTGGAATACTGCATCCAGTTTTGGCCACCACAATGTAAAAAAGATGTTGAGACTCTAGAGCACAGAGAAGAGCAACAGATGATTAGAGGACTGGAGGCTAAAACATATAAGGAACAGTTGCTGGAATTGGGTATGTCTAGTTTAATAAAGAGAAGGACGAGGGGGGACATGATAGCAGTGTTCCAATATCTCAGGGGCTGCCACAAAGAAGAGGGAGTGAAGCTATTCTCCAAAGTGCCTGAAGGCAGGACAAGAAGCAACAGATGGAAACTAAGCAAGGAGAGAAGCAACCTAGAACTAAGGAGAAACTTCCTGACAGTTAGAACAATTAATCAGTGAAACAACGTGCCTCCAGAAGCAGTGAATGCTCCAACACTGGAAGTTTTTAAGAAGAGACTGGACAGCCATTTGTCCGAAATGGTGTAGGGTTTCCTGCCTGAGCAGGGGGTTGGACTAGATGACCTCCAAGGTCCCTTCCAACTTTATTATTATTATTACCCCTGACTTATTCCTATCACTACTAACAAGAAGTTTTAAAAACACAAAGGCTAATTCAAATGTACTTTCCAAATGTGATAAATAAATGAAGCCTCTCAAGCAGATGGACCTGATGCACAGAGTAGCCACAGATTCTCAGCAGCCTGAGAACAAATAATGGTAATTACTGGCAAATTTAGCAAATATTCCAGAGTGCAAGTACAAACCATGGAGAAGGCTTGTTTGTAAGTGACCCCAAGTTGATAGTCTCACCCTCTGCACACATTGCAATGGAAAAACAGCAAGCACAGGTTGTCAGGAATCCTGATTTTCAACTCCTTTTGGGGTTTATTTTTTGAAAATCCTTATTTTGTATCCAGCTTCTTTAGGCCGCTCCATGATTGACCTATATTTTTCATAATCTTGTCATGACACCATTCTTCCAGTTATAGCAATAGATCTCATGGAAATCTTAAGGTTTCTTCTTATGGATAAAACACCATGACATTTCTCTGCCAGATCCCAAGATCTTGTTTGAGAATTGCTGCCTCATTAAATTCAAAGAGAGCCTCAACATCCCTTGTCCCAGTTCCAGAATCTTGGAAACCACAGAATATTACATATGGAAAAATATATACAGGTAGTCTTTGATTTACAACCAATTGTTTTATGAATCTTGGGAGTTATGACAGCCTTGGAACAGTAGGGGGCCCCAACCTGTGGGCCCTGGACCACTGATGGGCCATGAGGGATTTGCAACTGGGCTGTGGAAACAGCTGGTGAGTGCACACGCACATGTGCATGCTTACTTGTGCAAGCAGCGGGTGAGCGTGTGTGCGCACACTCCATTTGCATAAACGGCAGGCACATGCATACACACCACTTGCAGAAATGAAGCTGCATGTGTGTACGCAAGCTTGCACAAAACATCGCCTCCCTCTCCTGCCGCTCTGCAAAGCCATAAATGTTGGGGAACTCTGCTTTATGGCCTGTAAAGCTCTTCTGATTGTTGTGAAATGTCCTCCTCACCCTTCAGTCACATGACTGCATTTCAAGTGCTTGGCAGCGGGTTTACCTTTAGTTGCAATGTCCTGGGGTGACATGATCATGATTTGCAACTTTTTTGTTGGTTTCTAGTGTCTTCTGCAAAAAGTGCCCATTCAGAAAAATGGGTTTGCTTAATCGCAGGTGTTGCTACTTACAACAAAATTTCAGGTCCCAATTGGGATCATAAGGTGAGGACTACCTGTATAGTTGTTTCTTTTCCTAGAGGCAGTTTATTGCAAATGAGTGAGAAATTGATATGGCACCTGTATCAATTAAAATAAAGATAGTCGTAGCACTTTAAAGTTGCGCTGTATTTGGCCTGTTTATTGAAATTAACGTTCCTCCTTTTTCCAATAACTGATATGAAAGGTGTTGTTAAGCTTTTTAAATTACCTTCACCCTTTTCTGCTGTATATGGCCAAGGGAAAGATACACCAGCAATTTACAACCCATATAAAGCCCAAACAAAATATTCACAACCACAGATGGTGTTGTTGCCTTTGGGTGGAGTAGACAAGTTGTTTCCCTAAAACAGGTTCTTGATAATGATTGAGAGTGATTTTTCCAGTGCACAAAATGGCCTTTCCTGTAAAACCAGAAACAGAATACAAATTGTTGCTGCTTTCTTCAGTGCTACATCAAATTGTGTTATTTCATGGGCTTTTCATTCATCAATGACTTCATATTTATCTATGCTATAGTATTATACTGTGGGTGAAATATAGCATCCAAAATATAATAAACCAAATAATTATAATACAACAATAATAGAACAAACAGAAAAATGTACAACAATGATGAGGAACATTTATTTTTTTTAATCATGAAATTTGTACATTGCCTGACTCCCAATGACTTTGGACGATTTCAGTAAAAAACAGAAACCAAAACCAAAACCAAGGAAACAAAGAAAGCAAAAATAAGAAGCAGATGCACACTGCTCAGAAGGGCCCTCTAAAATCATAGCCAAGGGTCTGGACCAAGAGCCAGGTCATTGAGGTTTTGGTCTCAAAACTTAACTAACTAAAAATGATCCATATCATATTAATACAGAATTAGTTTTATATTTAACACATTATTTATAGATTATATATATTGTCTGGCAAGACCAAGGAAACAAAAATGACATAGATTTCAGGAAAATATGTTTGATCGTTTTTTTTTTGTTGTTGTTAATATCCAGTCCTGGCTGGACTAATCCCTACAATATTCTTGGCAAGATTTGTCAGAAGGAGTTTGCCTTTGCCAACTTCCTAGGCTGATAAAAAATACCAATCCAAAGTCACCCAGCTGGTTTTGTGCCTCAGATGGAATTAGAACTCAGTTTCCTGATCTCTAGCCTGATGTCTTAATCACTATGTCAAACTGGCTCTCAACTTCGAAGCTAATTTGAAGTAAATACAGAATCTTGAAAATTAGAAGAGGAAGTCCTGTGGCATGGTGACACCCCTGCTTGAGATGCTTAATTTCATTATCAGATGAGCAGTGGAACCCATGAGGCAAAAAGGGCTTAGCAACCTTGGGTGATCTTGCATCTGGAACAGCTCAGTGGTGTTTGGTCATCTTACAAGCCATGTACCTGGCTCACTATGCATTGAACCTTGTGTGTTCCTCTAAGGAACTTCAAAAGATGAAACACCAGCAGAGATTCACCATTAGGAGAAAAAGAAGAGTGAATCAGACAAGTGCAAATAGGAGCACACATTAGGAATTATATCATATCAAAAAGAGCAGCAAAACAA